TACAAATATCTTCAAAGATCAACAGATCAACAGATGTGATCAAAAACACTAAAATGAAAAAAAAAAAGGAGTAGGAAAAAAAAACATCACAACAAAGCATTAATGCCATAAATCTGATCTCAGAGAAACAGTTCTCCCATCTGTTTATCTGACGGTCCACATGTGCAGCCTGGATGCAACGTGGAGATATTTCAGCAGCTAAAAGAACCCACCAGGTTCCTTTAAAAGCAGCCTCTACGTTTACCACAAACCAAGGTTCAAACCTAGCCCATTGTGTTTCGTTTATTCTGCCATCTTCAACAACGAAAGCCACTTCTGACTCCTCGCGAACAGCAGATCTAAAAGTCTTTAAGCCTCCTATAGAGATGGCTTGGTGACTGTGCTGACTATAAATCTAACCTAATTTATTCAGCTTATTTTTATTCAAATGATGCCAGGAGGTGAAACACGATGAGACAAACAAGCACATCACAAGATTCACTTCAACACTTTCAACACACACAGCTGCTAATAAGAAAGCTAAAACAAGCAAGAAATACGGTCCATTATGATTCGCACGAACTAGGAATGTGTTTTTCTGTGAGTGTCCCCCTCAGCGACGAGGCAGGCTTTTATTTTGATGGACTCCAACTTGTCGTCACATGCACATTTAAAAAAAAAAAAAAAAAACTTTTGAGTGGTCTGTGATGAAAACCTGCTGAGTACTCCAAACAAAATAGTACAGGCTGGTATTACAAACCAGTTTAGTTTGCTGTAAATATTTCTCAAGTTGTCTGATGAACCACGGTTTGCATAAGATGCCAACTAAATCAATATTTTATTATTTTACTAAGCAAAACAAAAAAACTTCACCTGACAAAGCAACACAAACCTACTGTTGACATCTCTTGTTTGTAACAATAAAATCAAACTACGCACTAAAAAATGACTCGTTTGAGGTTTTTTAGGTCGATTTACAACTTTGAGTAGATTAAATTTTAAGACAGTTGGGATTCATGTAGAAAAGGATTAATGGTGAGCAGGAAAAGACTTCAACAACACCAGCAGGCATCCCGTCAGGAATAAGTCTGAGGCAAGAAAAATGAAAATTGCAACAAAGGAAGAGGTTTCATTTGAGTTAAAGCTTGTTTCAAGGCTTTAAATATCCCTTTTGATCAAGACTGTTGTGTATCTAATACTGACTGAAAAATAAAAAGCATTTTGAACAAACAAAATATTCACAAACCAAATTTTAGGGAAAAAAATTAATTTAATAAATGTAACTGCAGGAAGACAAAAGAGGACAACATTTTTGCCTGTATCTATTACCAAAATATCTCATGATGCACTTCTTTTTAAAAACTCAATTTTATTTTTACTCAAATCAAATTCATTAAAAGATGGCTACCACCACCAACTGACCTTAAAAACACTTATAARTCAGTCAATTTTACAGAGCTTGACCAAACATTTGGCGTGGTAGCAGATGAGACTGATGTCCAACACATTTTGCTGATAAATTAAATATTCTGGGCTCTAACAGAGCTTGTAAAGCTTGTTTAAAAAATTTGCTTTCAACTATTTGAGGTTGATTAAACTTTTGAGGCCAATTCAAGATGGCCACCATGGCCAACTGATYTTAAAATAAATAAATAAATAAAAACAGACACACACAAAAGTCTATAATTCCATTTTACTGGCTTCGCAACAAGATGTAGTTGAAGCTGAGCTTATTTCACAACACATACTCCAAGCACTACCCAGTGAATACAATCTTTGTTTCAGTTGATCAGTTTTGAGTATCTGTGGTCTTACAAAGTGTGTTAATCTACGTGTGCTTAAATCTAATCTAAATGTCGCTTGTAGTTATTTGTATAGCATGTTTTATCTTAATTCAAAGATCAAGTAAGCACAAGTGAAAACTATCTGCACTACAGCCCCTTATATATGGATGGTACGGAGCCCACGAGGGGAAATGGGAGATTTTTTTTTTCTTTTGCGTTCCCTCGCAAAAGTAGTTTGTCACTGTTGTGCCTGCCGGTTTATTAGCAAACTCACATGTTTACCATTAGCGAGTTAGCCAACTGCTTTAATTCAGCTTCTGAATGAATATATCACACAGCCACGCATGGAAGTATGTCATATGCCGATATTTTAACACAGTGCAGCCACGCAACAACAATGTCAATTTCACGAACTTGTGGCAACAAATCCTGATTTGGTAACCGGATATTTCAAAATAAAGTCTGATTTAATTCAGTTCATGTACAAAATAATCTTTTGCGTATTGCGAGGGAACGCAAAGGGGAAAAAAATCCCCCGTGTCCCCTCGCGGGCTGCGTAGGATGGAATGACTAAGTGGAAATAAAGTGTTTCTAAGTAGGACAACAGTAGCGAACAACCCTGTAGGCAACTGCTAGCGGGCCAAATTAAATGGCTTAGTGGGCCTATTTTGGCCCACAAGCCTCACTTTTTGGGCACATTTGGACTATGTGCAAAATATACTCTTTTTCTAGTCATCCAAGTATTTTTTGGGATATGATTTTATTTAATTTTATTTATTTATTTGTTTGTTTATTTATTTATTGTGCACACAAGACTTAACAAAGGGGGGTTTTATAAATCTGTTGTCTCAGTTTCTTGATTAACTGAGGAGTTGAACCTCTGCAGAAGAGCTTCCAGTTCATTCAACATGCAGCTGGCAGAGAAAACACCAAGCCTTTTAGTTAAAAGCCTCAAAGCCAGATAAGCTGCAGGTGATGTGCCTGCATCCCTCAGGGGGTGTATTCTSTGTGTGTGTGTTTGTATATTCTCTATGTGTGTGTGTTTGTAATGATGCATCTAGCAGGGCTGCAGGCCCCTCTGTTCTTGCTTACCAACCCCGGGGTGTCTGTGTGCACCGTGTGCAGAGTGCCGCTGCACCCCAGCGGACAGGTAGCTGACCTGGCCGTGCTGCTGCTGCTGGGGCTGCTGGCTCTCCGGGTAGTTCCGTCCTCCGTGGTGCGGCGCCCAGCCGGGGTTACTCTGCGGAGGGTAGTTCAGACCTCCTCCTCCTCCTCCTCCTCCTCCCCCGGTGGCGCTCATCATGTTCCCGTTACCGACAGCGCTGCCGCCGCCTCCGACGCTACCGTTCACCGCGAAGTGATAGAAGCCGGAGCGAGACCGCGACCGAGTCCTCGGGGGGTCCATGGCCGGTGATTAGGGAGGGCGGTGGCGGGTGGAAGAAGGGATGGACGTCTAAATGGAAGCTCTCTGGTTACTTTTGATGCTGCTCGGTTACTTCCTAACGCATTTAAACGGATGTTTTATGAAGATGAATTGAAACGTGGAAGCACAACCATCAAATCTGCATCAGCTCTCCTGTCACTGCGCGTCAACTCAATGAAAATACTCCCTTTTTATTATCACTGCGCACACTAATCAACATAAATAGGCGTTTGAAATTATTCTAGTTGCATAAAGACACGCTAAAACAAAATCTACATTTATCCTCAGCGAACAGTGATGTCCTCGTTAGGTCGCTGCTTCCCTTTTGTCTAATCACAGTGAAATCTGTCAGGCTCCACAGCAGCTAGATAAAGTGTTTTATAGGCACGATTAGGAGTCCTGGTCGAGTTGCAAAGACCTGCAATAAACGCCAACTTAATTTCAGCAGCTCGCCACCATCAAATAAACAAAATTAAACACTTCAATCCGTCAACACAAGCCAGACTGCTAGCGCTCGAGCGTTAGCAAACTACAGGGACCCGGATACTGGTTATAAAACAAAAGTTATACACATAAATTCGTTTGAAAATAATATTTAGGCAGAAATACTAGCTACATTTGCGTGGGTTAGTTGAACACGCTCGTGCATTTGCACAATTTCGATTTTATTTTTGTCTTCCAGCGAGCCCGAAGCTAACAGGAAGCGAGGTCTACAGGGGAAAACAAGTGAAAACAAGCCGACATTACAACCTAACTGCCGCCGCGCTGAATCGGTGTTAAATTGGCTCTTTGACAAGACCTACTGGCGGACCAGCTCACCCCGCATGAGAACCAGCAGATAGCCACCTCGTCCGTCAAGCGAACCGGACAGTATTTGTCTAATTTAAATCCCTCTCGCATTCGCTATCGGGTGTTTTTCTCTGGTCAGCGGGGAGTGGAGTGCAGATCAATCAATGGGGAGGCTCGCGTCTCTGTCGAGTCACGACCAATCGATAACAGATACCATTTTGGTTCGTCACGAGACTTTCCACGTTATTACTAAACACAAACTACAAAAGCACGACAGTATATACTAAATTAAATTGTTACACATCTTTACAAATTGCATACATGTATTTTGTAGCGGTGAAAATATATTTTAAGTCGCACTCTGTCATCTAAGTTGATTGCTTTGGTCTGGCAACCAGCAGGCAGCCGCTCTGCTTATTAATATTTCAGCAGCTTCAACGCTTTGAAAAATCCCACTGGCTGCAGACGGCTTTTCAGAGGGATGTGGTCAACATACACCCACTCTCTGATATATATGACCATGATCAGTATTAATATTTATAAACGAATATAACAAAACCATCCTAGTGTGCTGAAAGTAGCCATACGGAATTTGCATATAAAATACACGACAGAATGAATGAAAAAAGCATAAAAACATAAAATAACTGGGATTAATAATTTTAATATGCAGTAATACAAGTAATGCTCCATGCTTAATGTACAATAACACTGTACAAATTAAATTAAATTCATAAGACAAAATTAGGAAGCTGATCAAATAAAGGTCATGTCAAATGTCTAATAATTTATTGAAGAGCATAAAATAATACTCTGTCACACACACACACACACACACACACACACACACACACACACACACACACACACACACACACACACACACACACACACACACACACACACACACACACACACACACACACACACAAAAATGACAATTCAAGTAAAAATATAAATCTACTGCAAAACCACTATAAAATGTGTTTTAAAATTAGCATTAAGAGCATGTAATTACAAAAAAGTACTTTCAAACCACATTTAATGATGAAAATTATTTCAGCTGTACATATTCTACAATACTTTTTGAAGAAATTGACATGGCAGGAATTTAGCTCAGACCTTTAAAATAAAGTTATGCACAATCTAACCCCCAGAATGTGTGCTGTGTATGACTCTCAGCTGCTTCCACATGAATTTTTATATGAATGTCTAGAAAATCGAGGCGTAGCATTTGTGTTATTTAAGGAAAGTTGGTTAAATCCTGAATCCAGGTGACTCCAAAACTTAATTAGTTGTTCATCCAATTATTATTTTCTGCAACTTTCATTATAGTTCTGCAGTGGTTTATTGAATATTTTGCTAACAAACACACAAACACACAGGCATGGACAAGACCATTAATGCAGATTACAGCAGGTTTTGTTTTGAGACATATTTTCACTTCTAACGTCCTTGTCAGCAAGAGGACACAAGTTCTTTCACCTCTCTACTTTGCTGTTCCTCCTGTTCTTTTCCCCATCTTTCTCCTCTCATCTTCTTCTTCTCCGGAGGGGAAGTAAACGGTTTGTGTCTGAAGGGGTCCACGGGGCAAACTTCATCATCAGAGTTGCAGCGAGGAGATCCTCCTCCTTCCCGCCTGACCTTGGCTTCCTTTCTCAGGCGCTTCACCTCGCGCCGTTCTCTGCGCCTCTCAGGCCATGTTTTCCTCCTTCCTCTCACCTCCTGCTTTTTCCTACTTCTCCCGTTCTTCTCACCACAAACAGCTGCTCTTTCACGTAAGTGGTCAGGAGGAGGACAGGATCCAGTGCTCAGAAGATCTAAAAACACATCAGTGTAACAGATTTTCTTAATTTTTCAGAGATGCTTCCTGAGGGTGCAACTTTCAGTTGACCAGAATTAAATCACAAATCAGGYCTTTAAAATCATAACAAAACAAGTCTTAAAAAATGATCATAATAAACCATCAATATTAATACCTTTGGCTCCTGTATGCGTCCTGGTACCACGCAGCAGAACGTCCTCCGCCGTGTCATAGTGACAAACATAAGGCAGTGAAGGAAAGGTACCACTGATCATCCTCCTCCTTGTGCACTCCTGACCCAAACATTCAGAACCAGAAAAGGCAGAGAGTAAAAATATATAAAGCAACTATGAGACAAGGAAAGGATGTGGTTAATATTTATTACGTACATAACCGTAATGTCCCCTGTCGGAGCAGTTGTAACAATGAGCACGGTGACTTTTCTGTTTGAGGCTGCAGACAGTTCTTGGTTTGAGAGGAACCTCTAAATCCACCTGAAAACAAAGTTCAAAGCTCATTTAAAGTAAATGGACATTTGCTCATTTTCAAGATGTAAATTTAAACATATACATGCATAAATACACAGTCTGAATATCACAAAGTAAATAAAACGAACATCTGAGTCCCAAATTTCTTATTTATGTCCACTGAGCCCCTGTTCAGACCTGAAACTAACATCTGTTGAGTGATCAAACACATCTGGATGGAGCTAAATACAGGTGTGAACGCTCTTAATAAGCACTGATCATGTATTCACTCAGACCAACCTTCAGAGTTGTTCTGGACACCTTAAAAGGCCGAACATGCTCCATGTGTGACTGTCACCTGGTTGTTTGATGTTCGTTTTCTCATGCACCTTTCATAAAGCACAAAGTAGCGCTCGTGGGAAACGCTTCCTGCTGCAGTACACATCACTGCACGGGCTTCTTCCCGCTGGAATCTCAACTCAATAAATAAATAAAATTTTGAATSAACGAACGAATGAATCTACTCTAATATCCGCCATTACTTTGGCTACAAATCTGACCTGGTTAAAGCTCCAGACTATGACAGACTGATTCCTCTGTGCTCTCTCCATCTATGTTTTTGTCCGTTTGACTTTTTCATACTATTATTTATTGTTTTTTCTCTCATCAAAAACAAGTTAAAACTGAGTCAAAGAAATCTGCGTGCTGCTAGAAGAAACAGTTGAAGGACACGAGAGTGTACGATGCCACAGTATCATGCTGAAGGCTGAGGTGCAACATAAGAAGGTAAGCTAATGCTAGCTAATGTTAGCTTGTTTACAGCTAACAAGCTGTACAACCTGGTCAGTGAAAACGTCAATGACCAACTTCATATCAGGCCCAGCAGCCTAGTCTGAATAAAACTCCAGGTTTTTCGGTTCCAGAAATCAGACTGGAAGTCGGCCATAGCAGCTAATGTAAATATACAGAACCCGGGTTTAGACCCAGGCCAGGAAATACAAAGCAAAGATGTCATCAGTGTGCAAAAAAACTTACTGTCAAGTGATATTGTCTCCATGTATCTGGACAGGCCTGCAGAAAACAAACAAAAATAATAATAATTTTTCCTCTGACGGAAACAAACTTTGTGCACTTCACAGCTTCACAAATGAACCCTCCTGAGACTTCAGAACCTGTCTGATAAAACCGCTGGACGGCTTCGACACCAACAATCAAAGCAGCTTGTTCTGAGACTCACGTCTGTCAGGTGACCCATCGTCCCACAGCGCTGGCAGTGCTGTTTCCACACCGGAGGCACTCTGCAGGGGTCGAGGCCATGGGAAGTCAGTCCACAGTGAGGACATGGACGACGTGGACAGTCCCTCTGGATGTGTCCCTGGGTGCCACAAAGGACACAAATAGGACTCTTCTGTTAAAAAACAAACATGTTGGACGTCATGAGCTCATCTGCAGCAGAGCATGGAGGAAACGGATGAGTCAGGTTTCGTACCTTTTGAGAGGTGCAATATTTAGCCAAGTGTCCCGTCTTGTTGCAAACGTAACAGATTGAAGAGGGACCAGGGATGAAATAACGAAAGGCCAAAGACTGAGCAGCACCATACTACATGAAATATAAGGACAAATTATTTTTTTTAACAATCACAGCACAGTTTTAGACAACAAAGTGGAAAAATGGCACCTTTTTGAAAGTTATTAGATATCAGAAGTTACCTTGTCTTTATCTGATACGGCCCAAATGTCTAGTGTTGATTTCTCATCAGGTATATCTGTGAAAGAAAATATCTTTGAGTGGCAGCTTAAACATATTAAAGATAAAACTGAAATACTTAATTATAAATAAAGGCCAAAAGTTTTATTGCCTCACTCCAATGAAAGGGCAACAATTTTGTTTTAACTGTCTGTTTATATCTTGTAAACAGCTGGATGGATTTTAACAAAACCTTCAAGAAATAATCATACTGTACCTCTATAAGTTTATTAACTTTTTGTGTTAATTTAATCAGAGGTGGTCAACACATCCCACTGGACACAGCCAACATAAAAAAACAACTCTAAACTTGTTTATTTTATAGATGTTGAGATGAAATGTGGTGGTAGAAATTGATTCAACGCACACTCGAGTGTGACATCAGGTGATTTTGCACAAGAATACTCTCAATATTCAGTGTGCATTGCCATTGCACACTGATATTGCTAATAATATTGCTAATAATAATATTGCACAGGTTTCTCTTTCATTTTCTTAAAAAGATCCCACACTTTTGAGCTCCGTTGCTGGGTAGCCATGATACCAGAGCCTGTCTGTATAATGTCTTGTGACATCCACGGCCTACCCCAGTTACCACTACTGTGCATGTGTGTCAAGGACAGAAAGGCAGATGTGGCAGTGGAAGGTGTCAAAGTAGTTTGGAGAGAAAAACAAAGTAAAGAACAAAAAAAACGATCAATCGATTGTTAAATTAGTCATCGATTATTTAAATAATTGATTAGTCGTCGATTAATTGTTGCAGCCYTAATACTAATATGATTGTATTTTGATGTTTTACTATATCATTATCTTAATATTGCTCTATTGTTGTAATATTATGCAGTTTAGTGTCAATAATTGTATTGGCAATGTGGCCTCCTTCTGCACACATACAAACCAAGCCCTGGCACCAAGCTCAGCCAAAGCTCCAACAGTCTAATGGTCTATGTTATGGTCTATCATGTGGGAGATCAGGGTTCAAAACCCAGGTAACACAACTTTAACAAAAACTCTATTCCAACTTCATATTGTCACTCAATTACCTTATTGAAAAACACCTGCTGACTTGACAGGCTCAAGCTGGTTTAGAAAACTTCTTTGAACTTGGTCAAAGCTCATTCTGCAAGTCCAATGCTCCTGCATACTTTGTCCTACAGCTGCCATTGTAATTTCTATCTGTAAATGTCCTGTGCCAAATGATTGCTATGCCTTTTGGTACCTGTACAAATTGTAGTTTTTGAAATATTAATGTTTAAACTTTATTCCACATTCATATAATGGTAGTCAATGGGGCCTTGTAATGGTCCAATACTGCCCCCAGCTGTACTCAACTTGGTACTGCACCAGTTTTTTTATATTCAATCTCAATAGTTCAGTGTTTACAATACTAATATGATTGTATTTTGATGTTTTACTATAWYATTRTCTTAATACTGCTCTATTGTTGTAATATTATGCATTTTTGTGCCAATAATTGTATTGGCAATGTGGCCTCTTTCTGCACACATACAAAGCAACCCCTGCCACTACCTTCTGCCACAGCTCCATTGGTCTAATGGTCTTTGTCATGGACTTTCATGTGGGAGATCAGGGTTCAAAACCCAGCTAACGCAACTTTAACAAAAAATCTCCTCCAACTTCATATTGTCMCACAATTACCTTAATTACAAACACCTGCTGACGTGACAGGCACAAGCTGGTGTAGAAAACACATTTGAACTTGGTCAAATTTCCTTCTGCAAGTCCAATGCTGCAGGCAAAGCCATGCTACGTGGCAATGCACACTTGTTTTTACATCGTAAAAACCCATGTCTAGTTTCAACTGTTTTTAATTACTGCAGTTTTATTTTCTGAACATTCTTGGACATATTTCTTGTACTTCGCTTAACTTTGATTGTATCTTTGATCTAGAGTGTTATGAACTTTAATTTATTAATTTATTTTACATAAACAGAAGTAAAGCAACACTCTGCAAATATTTACACWGACTTTACTTTTTTGTATGATCTAACCTTCATCTCCAAACTCGTCATCAGAGCTGCTCCAGTAGCCGAGATTGAGTAGGATGTTGGAGTCTTCCTCCAGCTCCTCACCTCCCAGGATCATCCACTCCTCTATGGGCTGGTCACTGTCCTCCTCCTCCTCCTCCTGCAAATCATCACCGGGGACACTGCTGGTGTTTTGGGGAGTCTTCTCAGAAGTGATGGGGAAGGCCAGGATGAGGGGTGGTGAGGTCTTCCTGAGGTGTGCAGTTTGTTTACGTCTGCTTTTCTGTTGTTTCCTAAAGTCAGAATGAAACTCTTCCTCCTCGTCTGAACCMCCGGAGTCCGCAATAAAGAAGAAGAAATCATCTTTGGTCCCTTCTTTATCTTCAACTTCATTTTTCTTCGTGCAGTTCATGATGGAGCCTGAAGCTGAACAGCGACGCCCAGCGGCGGCTGCCTGTACTGCAGCTGAACAGCGGTTTAACTACACGTTTACCCGAGTAGCTTTAAATCGATAAAGGACAGATCATTGTTAATTTTTTTTTTCGCCTTCTCATCTGAAAACCTAAAAAGCGTACAGTTGTTTTGTAAAAACCTCCATATATAGTAGTTTAAGGCTACACACTGTCTGTCACTGACTGTGCCGTTGTGGATAGCATGTAGCTAAGTTAAAAGCGAAACATAACTAAGTTGAGTAACCTTTTTCGAACAACGGCGCTTTTCCGTTTTACCACCATTTTAATTTGGATAAGTAGCGTTACCTTAATTACAAACGGCAATGTTATCCTTCATAAAGCGTAGACAGAAGTTATGTTTTACATGCGGCCGCTGATTGAAGCGCTTACCCGGTGTTTCGACGTAACGCGGGGAAAAATAGTTGGCCAACAAAAAAGGAACCCTGAGTTCAGACGCTTTTCAAACACTTTTACAGTAAAATGTTTACGAAGATCATGTCCTGTTTTAAATGCCAGTAACTGATATTACCCAGATTAAGCCCAGCGGCGGCTGCCTGTACTGCAGCTGAACAGCGGTACCTTTAAATCCTAAGTAAAAAATATTGTACTTGTGAAAGTGAGTTCTATGGAAGCCCATTTCCGCCACCCTGATAAAAAAATAAATAAAACTTGTATCTCATAATTATGACTTAGCTATCTCATTATTATGAGTATCTCATGATTATGACTTAGCTATCTCATTATTATGAGTATCTCATAATTATGACTTAGCTATCTCATTATTATGAGTATCTCATAATTATGACTTAGCTATCTCATTATTATGAGTATCTCATAATAATGAGATAGCTAAGTCATAATTATGAGATAGCTAAGTCATAATTATGAGATACAAGTTTTATTTTTTTTAAGGGTGGCGGAAATGGGCTTCCATAGAGTCCGGTTAGAACTCCAAAGAATAGCTGAGTCGCACTGCAGTGGTTTTAACTTGAATTTGCTGTTTATTTTCACTTTGAGTGAAATGTGTGGTTCTGAAACAGATAAATAAAATACAAAATCAGTGTCTAAATAATGAAAAAATAACTAACTAGTAAGTAATACCACAATTACATTCTAAATGACTGCAATATTAACATTTCTAAATACTCTCTCTAAATGAATGTAACACAAAAACCCACGCAGCAGATAGCTCACATTTAAATGTGCACATGGTACAAAAAGAGTGGAAATGGGTATATTCGGCTAAATAGACAATAATTTTAACTTTAACATTATTACTTGCATTTCCACGCACACAAATCACAACAGGGTGGCAAACAAACTGTAAACAGCAACAACAAGCTTCAAGCTGTATCTACAGTGCAGCTCCTTTCTCGTCTGCATGATGCTCACGTGTTTTAAGCTCCGCCCCTTAAAGGGCCAGTACAACTGTTTTGAGAAGGGGTTATTTGCGGAATTAAAAGTGGGCGTGTCACAAGAGTGGGCGTGTCACAAGAGTGGGCGTGTCAAAAGCATAAACACTGGAGACCTACATGATGGTATCCTGACATCCTGCTCGATCTTGTTACAGCCTGACCCTGACCCCAACACTAAGGTTAACCAGGAGAAATGTGACCCAAGTAGTGTTCTCCAGAAAAAGTGGTGCCGTACAGTAACGCCCCTTTTGTTCTTGTCCAGTGAGGTGGTGCCGTACGGTATCGCCCCTTTTTTGCTTGTCCAGTCAGGTGTGTCCCTTCAACAAAGTCCGTCAAATCAGGTGCGTCGCTTTAGAATCGCCTTTCCTTGTGACACGCCCACTCATCCACACTCATCTGCAGAGACCCTCTACTTGAGTTTCTTTCAGCAGCCTTTTTTAAATTTTATTAAAGAAAGGAAACATTTACAACAAATATAGCATCAAGAACAAGTAATCTTGTCGGTTTGAACAAAGACCAGATCAAGCTATTATAGTTTACTGAAACACAGAGCATAACATAAAAAATAAGGAAAATAAACAATAGAGACTTGAAAAAAAATAAAAGAAAAACACAAAGACATCACTTGTAAACTAGTGTTTTTTTGAAAGGTTCAGTTCATTAATACTATGACACAGTTCTATTGTTTGCTTATTGTCCATCAAGTTTACCGATGAGAAACAGTAACAGCTCTTTTTGATATGTGAGGAATTCAATGATTACATTTTTTCAGCAGCCTTTTTAACACCAATGAACTGACATATGGCATGTGTGAATAGCCCTTCTTGCCTCCAGTGTTATGTAAATGAGGCCATTACGTTTGCAAGAAGTAACAAAGGACACTGTACTCGGCAACAAGTCGGTCTCAAAATGGAGCCCATACGAACTTAATGTAACTCCTGTAGTTATTATGGTTTGATGACCCCCCCCCTTAAAAAAATAAATAAAAATAAATAAAAAAAATGTGAAAATTACAGAAATTTAGAGTCAAGATTCAAAGCTTTATTGTTATATGCACAGTAAAGAAACGTGTTACCCTGTTTCCTTGTACAATGAAGTTCTTTCTTTGCTGCCCACACTGGCTATCCAAATATTTTGTATAAATCTAAGTACAAGCAAGCAATAAAAGATAAAATAAGCATGCAACAATATAATAACAAAAGTATTCATAAATAGAACTGTAAACTATACAGAAATATAAACTATGCCAATAAGCCTCTGTACATACAGTCATTGTGCAGTGGTGCGCTATATTGCTTATTGTCAGACTGGTATGAAAACCCAAGAGACTCATCACACCTCCAGACTGTCTGAACACAAGTGGCACTTCCACAACATCTCCTTTCTGCATTTGCCACATGTGAACCTGTTACAAGAAACACAATGCTGAGTGGCACGGTTACTCTTGCAGCAACACTTAACCTGGCACAATGCCCTTTTCCCTGTGTCAGGTGTGGGTGGTTGCTGCTGGGTTTCCTTACACATCTCCTTGGCTGCCAGATGAGACTGTGCGAGCTCTCTTGCAAGCTTGACCAAGAAGTCTGCCCGTCTCTCTTTGACCCCAGTGCATGCCTGAAAAAGCACATATGCATTCAGTGCTGAAATGTCAACCATGTTGTAAAACACAGCGACTGGCCAGCGCCGTGTTTCTGAACAAACAGTGTACTTTCGCAACATCTGGTCCATGACATCCACGCCACATTTCAGGCTGTTGTAGTCGGTGAGTGTGTTTGGCTTTTTTTGGTGGGGTGTCCCCAGTCTCCACCACACTGTGCATGCTACTGAGGATGCAGACAGTCTTTCTCCGTTTAGGCACATAAACGGTCAGTGTGGCACCAGAGGTTGAAAACACCTGTGTACTGAATTCTTCATGGTCCAAAGTCTTTTTGGCAGACTCTGGAAGCTCACGGCGAGTCTTGCTTACTGTGCCAAGGAGGGTGGTCTTCCGGTCGAGCAGTCGTTTTGCTAGTGACAATGAGGTGAAAAAATAGTCTGTGGTAATAGTTCTTCCTTTGTCCATAAATGGTTCCATAAGCTTCATCACCACATTTTCCGATGGTTTTTCCCCCGTGGGACGACTGGGGTCTTTGCCAAGATATGGGATAATGTTGCATACGTACTTGGATTTCAGGTCACATGCCACCCAGAACTTTATGCAAAACTTGTCAAGTTTTGTTGCAGTGTACTGCAGGAAACAGCAACAGGTCTTACATGGAAAAAGTTGCTCATCTATGGCTATGTGCCTTCCTGGGTTGTAAGAAGAGATGCAGTTGGCAACAAAAGACCCCCAAACATCAGCGACTGCAGCAAACYGGTCATTTACAACTTGGTCACTGTGTGTGTCCTTGTCATCGAAGCGTAGGTGCCGCATGATGTCCTGGAAGYGGTTTCGAGCCATAATGTTGCTGATGGAGGGCACTCCCAGTGTTGCAGACCATGTGTMATGCACCGCTGGAAGGCGGACAATCCCTCGCAGGATGAGGATTGCAATGAACGCCTTTAGTTCAGGGAGGGCCATGGACCAGTCTTCATGCTGTGTCTGGCGTGCATGCTGGACAGTCCATCCCTGTATGGTCTRAAGCATTTCCAGAGAGATGAAACACAGGAAACTCTCTAAGTGACTCAACACTTTTTTTCTGGCCAAAGCAGTTGGYTCTCCATCTGTGGGATGACATTCAATTGGGTTGTCATGCAGAGGTCTTCCGATCTGTTCTTCACGCCACACTGTGCCGTCTTTTGCCGTCTCTGACTCTGTCAGGCACTCGTGTGTCTCGATGCAACCTCTCTTTTCTGGAGGTGATGAAGTCTCCTCATCTACAGGACCATATGTTTGAGATTTGATTAGTGAAAGGCTGAAATAATGTGAAATTGACACAAACATAAAAACATCTCAAGTATGTTTCCTTTGTACTAATGTAGGATTGTTTTCACACTGCAAAAAGTGGCATATTGAYTAGTCAAAATAGCTCTGATTTTTTTAAACCTTATTTGACGTAAAAAAGAAAAAAATTGTATAGGTCTTCTGGACGGGTTCTTCTCTAATGAAACGTTTCGTCTCTCCTCCAAGAGACTTCTTCAGTCTGAGAGTTTCAGGCAAAATTCAGGCTTTTAAGCACTGCCTCCATGTGACTGATACTCACATCACATGGCTATCGTTGACACCTAATTAACACTTATTGTTAACAGGGGGTGGAGTGATACTGGCAATAGCCGCACTGTAGGAGGGAGACAACTGAAAACGGAGGCCTCCACCTCTGTTTAATGATGGACGGTCTTTCTTCACAAAAATGGCTTCTTTTACTCCTCTCTCAAACCAACGTTCCTCTCTATCAAGAATGAGAACATCCTCATCTCTGAAAGAGTGACCGCTGGCCTGTAAATGAGTGAAAACTGCAGAGTTCTGGCCATTARATGTAGCTCGTCTGTGTTGGGACATTCTTTTGAACAGTGGCTGCTTTGTTTCCCCGATGTATAACTGGTCGCAGTCCTCCTGGCACTTAACAGCATATACAACATTGCTCTGTTTGTGCCGGGGCACCGGATCTTTGGGGTGAACCAGCCTTTGCCGTAATGTGTTTTGGGGTTTGAAAGCTACTGGGACATCATGTTTAGAAAATAAACGTCTCAGTTTCTCTTAAACACCCGCAACATACGGAATAACCACTGGTTTGGGTCTGGGTTTGGGGTCTTCATTTTCACCTGAAGGTTGCATGGAATCCTGTCTGTGTTTCCTGTCTGCTTTCAGGAAAGCCCAGTCAGGATAACCACACTGCTCCAGGGCCTGTCGTGTGTGTGATTTCTCTTTCTGCCTGGCTCCTGGGTTTGTAGGGACACTGTCTGCTCTGTGGTABAGAGTCCTGATCACTCCTAACTTGTGTTCCAGTGGGTGGTGRGAGTCAAAACGCAAATATTGGTCTGTGTGGGTGGGCTTACRATATAYGCCAGTTTCCAACCGTCCTCGATCCGAAACCGAGACATCGCAATCCAGGAAAGCCAACCTGCCATTTTTTACATCCTCTCGTGTGAACTTAATATATTCATCCACAGAGTTGATGTGATCGGTGAAATGTTGGACTTCCTGGGCTTTAATTTTAATCCAGGTGTCGTCAACATATCTGAAACGTTTCATTAGAGAAGAACCCGTCCAGAAGACCTACACAATTTTTTTCTTTTTGATTTTTTACCTGGATTACTGAGATGCATCAGGACTTATTTGAAGTAATTTTGTCTTTTGAACAACTGCCAATAGGTAAAGATATTTTTACATAAATTTATACAAAAAAACCTCAGCTACTTGAAAAAAATACATTTTTTAATTTAACATTCATCAAAACCCAAGTAAAAACATAAAGACATTTTGTCTTGTTTTAAGTCAAAATTCAAGTCAAAATTACTCAAATTAAGATAGAATAATATTCTTGGGCAATTTTAACTTGTCAATGTGGTACTTTTTGCAATGCGTCTCTTCCAAAAACACAACAGCCAGAACCAGCAAACAAAAACAGGAAATGTAGGAAATCTAACCAGAAGATATTTCAGAGTCTGAACGCTGCTCAAGGGTTATTTCTTCTCCATCGGAGTCACAGGGGTTGACCTGGCTGAGAATCATGTCTAAAGCCTGCTGTGCACTGTAAACCTCTGACATCTTTGCTTCTCATTCAACAGGGAAATGTGTGGTGACGTGGCTTTTTATCCACCTGGAGGTGGATACAATCGTAATCGTTGTCATCATCGTTTACACTATCACCCATCACACCCATCCCTGTTCACCGTTACCTGGTATTGGCCTATTTTGATCTAATGGCTGCAACAACATTTTTAAAATTTAAAACAAATATAGAACATATCTCAGTTACCTCCATCGTGTATATTTGTAATATTGTACTATTATACTATAGTGAGAAACATTTATTCTATTTTATTTTACTCAGCATAGCCTACACATAGGCTATTTACTTTGGTGCAGTTTGTTATATAAAGTTTATGCATTTTATTAATAAGTTTTCCTATGTCTGCAGTCATCTTTCTCTTTATTATAAAAAATAATATTGAAATAATGTGAGACTGACTCAATTCAATGACATTATTTGAACTATAATTCCAAAACATCTCAAGTATGCCTCCTTTGTACAAATTTAAATTGTTTTCACACTGAAAAAGGTGACATACTGATTGGTCAAAATAGCTTAAGTAGATCTGGGCGGTATGACCCAAATTTTATATCACGGTATTTTCAACAATTACACCAGTTTCACTGTATTTGACGGTACTTTTTTTCCTCACAGCTCAACTGATAATAAAATGTACAAACTTTGCTTATTGATTTTTTTCTTTTACTGTACCTCTGTATCACTGTTTCCCTCCTYATGTACATCTTTTCATCTTTGACTGGTTGTAGACAGTAATCATACATTTAGGTCCGATTGTGAAGGGTTGAGAAAAAAATCATTATCAGGTCTATCTTTGCGTGTTAAAAAAAATTTAAAGGACGACTCACCTTGCACACCAGTCAACTCAACTCTACTACAA